CACACCAGTACCACACTCTGCTGCAGGCCCGGGGCCGTTTTGGGGCAGCTGCTGATGTTCGGAGCCGGGGGCTGCTGGAGCGTGGGAGCAGCGTGCAGGGCGAGGGGGCTGAGCTCATTTCCTTCCTGTGCTCCGGGGCTCTCGGCCTCTGTTTGCCCCAGCCTGGCTTGGCCCAGCCCGCCCCGCTGACACCCCCGGTGTCTGAGCTCGGCTTTCAGCCGCCTTTTCTCACTGCCGAGCAGCGAGCACGGGCAGATCTCACCTGCAGATCTCACCTGCAGCCCCCTCGGGCCGCTCGAGAGGCCCCGCACCCCCCAGCGCTGTCAGTGCCCAGCAAACGCAGGGCTGCAGATTCCCGTGTGAACCCCCCAGGTTACCCGGCCGTGTGCCATCTGCAGGTTTTATACCTCTCCGTGTTCCTCCGTCCCACGGCGCTGCACAGCCGATGTCCCGTGGCTGTCCCCTGTCCCCAGGAGCTGCGGGGACAGCAGGGGCAGGAGCCGGGCTGTCCCTGTCCCGGCTCTGTCACCACCCGGGAAGGAGGGCTCACAGGAGGGGTGAGGGCGTGGTTGGGAATATCCCGGGCAGGTTTTAAACCTGCAGCTCTTTGACAGCCCCGGCTCGTGGCTGGGGACACGGGGACCAGGGAGGGGACATTCCCTTCCACGCGGGTGGGCTGGGTGTGCCCGGGTGTGCCCGTTCCTCTGCTTTCCCTGCTCCTGAGCTCACCTGAGCCGGGCTGGCGGGTGACAGTGACAGTGTGACAGTGTGATAGTGTGGCACTGTGACAGTGTGACACTGTGACAGTGTGGCAGTGTGACACTGTGACAGTGTGACACTGGCAGTGTGACAATGTGACAGTGTGACATTCTGGCAGTGTGACGCTCTGGCAGTGTGACACTGTGACACTGGCAGTGTGGCCGGCAGTGCTGCTGTCCCCGCACAATGGGGACAGATGCAGGAGGAAGTGCTTTGTCTGCCCGGGCCAGGGACACTCGCAGATGTCCCACTTCCCCAGCTGACAGCGTCACCACTGCTCACAGCTCTGGCCGCCAACTCCTTCCTGGTTAAACAGCACAGCTTTTCCTTTTTATTTCTTTTTATTTCTTTTTCTTCCCCCCCCCCCTCCTCTCTAAGGTGCAATTTATGATTCATTTAAAATGTCCTGCCAGGATATTTCAGCTGCTGTGTGATCTCCATTCCGTGGCTGTGCATGGAGCACAGAGGCAGCAACGGTGCTTATTTTGTTATAGCTAAAACAAAACAAAACAAAAAATATTAAAAAATGAGCAAGATGCAAAGTACAGCTGTGAGGCGGTGACAAGGACACAATGCTTGGCAGCCGAGCTGCTCTCACCCCTTGTGAATGGAGGTGTCTGTGCATTTCCCCTCACACTTAAAATAGAAATATATGAATTGTCACTGGCTGTTTGTACCACAGCACCTGGCTGGTCCCAGTTCTGCAAACTCCATCTGAACCCAGCAGCCTGGGCACGGGGCAGGGTGGGAGCTGGGGAGCACAAACCATGTGTGGGCTCTGGAATTGTTCATCAGAGGTGATCCTGCTCTGGAGGACTGGGAGAAGCCAAAGCCCTTGAGCAGCCTCTGCTCTGGCCCAGGGACACAAAGGACAGCCCAGGGCTGTGTGGCACCACCAGGCTGTGACGTGGGACAGGCAGGGACAGGCAGGATTCTCCTGCTCCTGCTCTCTGACATAAATCACGTGGCAGTAACAGCCCCATTACAGAGTGTTTCCTCCAGCTGCCCAAGCCCTTCACCCCACAGGCTGAATTTCTCCTGCTGTGCTTTCCTTGTTTGACAGAGCTCAGGGCAGCAGGGCTGGGCTGAGCCCCCAGGTCCAGCAGGGGCTGGTGGGCAGATGCCAGGGACGTGCAGGACATGACTCAGTTCCTGCCTTTGGGAGCCAAACTCTGCCAGGCCGGGCTGGCAGCGTGTCCTGCTCTGTGCCAGCTGTGCTCAGCACCAGCCTGGGCACCTTGGCTGCTTCCCAGCCCCAGGAAATGGCAGCAGAAATGCAAAAACCCCAACCCCGAGCATCCTCCAACACACAGAGCGAGACTTCCGAGCAGAACCCGCTCTTCTGGTGTTTGCTGTGAGCTCTCCCAGAAAAGCTCTGGGGTTTGCAGGGGCCACGGGGGTGCTGCTGTGGGAAGGCCACCAGGAGCAGGGGACAGCTCTGTGGCCCGTGTGGCTGAGGGCACAGCGGGGACAGCCCCAGCTGCCCACGGGGACACTGCAAAAGCTGAGCTGTCCCTCAAGCAGTCCCTTGTCCTCTTGCAGTGACACTGGTGGAGTGCTCAGCTCCTTCCACCAGGACAGGAGCCTGACTCACCCCAGCATGGCCTCGGGGCTCCCAGGGCTCGGGTGGGAGCTGGGGTAATTAAAACCTTCATGCTGATTGCACCAGTAAAGAGACTTTGCCTGGCGGTGTAGAAGGAACTAACACATTGCCAGGTTATTTAATTCCAATAAATCATTTTAAAATATTCAGCTGTTATTTACATTAAGGCAACATTTGATGCCTCTGGGGGGAAGTGTAGAGGTGATTCAATATTTGTTATACATTAGTTGAGCAGACTTAGGTAAATTTACTTTAATAGGTTTTTTTTTGCCTAATAATATTAAGCCTAAAAGAGAATGAAGGATGGATTTGCTGGAGAATTCTGAGCTGTGAAAATCTGTTGGTTCCTCACTGTCTGACCCTGTTTTATGGAGCTTAGGGAAGAGCTTGTGAGACTCCTCATACCTGGATCTGGTGACATTCATTAATTTATTTTTTTAAGCATGTACTTAACTTCTGTTGACTTAAGGGCAATACAGGCAGGGTCCCACTGAATATTAATTAAGGTAATTAATTCCCACTAATATTATTAAGGTAATTAATGAACAATTCTAGGACATCAGGCTATTCTCAGTTTCACTCTGGGCTCTTCTGGCTGGCCACAGCAGTGACCATCAGCAGCACCTGCCATCAGCTGGGTGCAGAGATGGTGGGAGGGCTTTGCAATGCAAATTCTGGGGAAATGAAGAGCTAATCTGAGCAGGGCAGTTGTTCCCTGTGAAAAACCATCTCCACCTCTATCCTGGGCCTCCAGCCCTCCCCACTGCTGTCACAGGCTGGGAGCCCAGAATGTTTTCACATCTTCTCCCAGGAGATATAAAAATGCACGTGCCACGGTCCCTCTGCAGCTCCACTGGGAGCACTGGGAGGAGCCAGCAGCTCTAAAATAAACAGGCCACCAGGACAGCCACTGGAACATCAAGTGGCTTCTTGACTGGTCTTGTAAACCTTCAAGCCTTATCTTAGCAGAAGAGTTCAGGAGAAGAGCAGATGGAAGAAGCCTTACTTGGGGCCAAGTGCTCCCAGCAAGTGGCAGAAGTGAATGTCACCAGCCTGGGACCTCAGCATGGCCATGGTGGCTCCTCCTGTTCCTGAGCACACAAACCCCTCCATTCCTTCAGTTTCTGTTGCTAAACAATGGGCCCTTTGGCATTTTCCAGTCTCACCATGGTAGTTTTTGGGATGGAGCACCTGAACAGATCCTCTCTAAGCAGGGCAAGCCAAGCCAGAGCTGTAGTGCTCCCTTCCCACTGCAGAGCTGAGAGAGCAGCAGCTCCTGGTGCTCTGCAGCACTGACTGAGCCTGGCCAGGGCTGCAGCTCAAGACTCAGGCTTTGCCAAGAGATTGGGTTTCTGTCAGCTTCTCAAATCTCAATGATTTCAGGTCCCACAAGCCCAGACCAGCTCCAGCTTCTGAAAACTTAATGTGGGGTCTCAAAAACAACAGGCTTGACCTCACTGATACCCTACTTGAGAACTTCTCATCTTCTAAGTATTGGAACTTATTAACAATGAGAGAAAAATGCAGGAGAAGCCCCTCAGTGGCTGCATCTACCCTTCAGACACCAACCCATCGACTGTGTCCACAATTCTGCAGCACCTAAACGTGGCTGCTGCTGCTGCCTGCTCCCAGCCAGCCCAGCTGATGCCTGAAGAAGGAGCTGAGGGCTCCCCCAGCCCCTCTTTGACCCCCAGGTGGTGCTGGCAGACCCCCACTGTCCCCCCATCCTTGCAGGAGGAGCAGGAGCTGAGCTCACAGGAGGCAGTGCAGTGATTCACAGGCACAGCTGCAGTTCTGTGGGAATAAAACCCTCCCCTGCCTCACGGCCGGAAGAAAATCAGAACAAACGTTCTTAGGAAAGGAGGAGCAGGGCAGCCAAGCCAGAGTAAACAAGCACTGAGAGAAGGGTGTGGAAGGAGGGGACGTGTGGCAGCCAGCAGACTGGCTGGCTGAGGAGAGGACAGGAATGGGTTTCTCATGTTGTCTTCTGGCACTCGCAGGTTCTTCCTATCTCCAGACAGGGATCTGACTGATGCTTGGATTTTGGCAGCTGCTCTGGTTGCTCCCAAACCAGACTTTTGACTTTTGCTGCTTCAGGTTCCAGCTCTGCTTGTGTCTCTGAGCATCCGAGGTCTGGAGGGGCCATGAAGGGACTCAGTGGCATGAGGAAGCTGTGGGGCAGCACCAGGCTCAGCACTGCACCAACTGTCCCTGGGCCAGCCAGGAACTGGCCCAGCAGCTGCCCCAGCGTGCCCAGCAGTGGCTGCTCAGAGCCAGAGAGCACCAGGCACAGGGAGCCTCCCTGCCCGTGCCCTGCTGGCAGTTGGTGGTTTAGGATCACGCAATGATAAAGCTTTTTTAAGCTTTCAAATCCCTTCCCTCCCCTTGCAGGGGGTTTGTGGGCTGGGGCAGTGGCTGGCGCCTCTCAGGAATAGTAAATGAGTCACCTCCCCAAATCACGGGGTGCGGGTGGAGACACAGGTGAGAGGTTTTGCCCCTCGGGCGATCAGAGAGGTGAGGCCCCCTCGTGGGTGTGGCTTTTACCTCATTAACCAAACCACTGATGACTTTAACTGCAGGGAAGTCACCAGTGCTCATTTATATAACATTTGCTGTGGTTTTGTCCCGGGGGCTGCAGGTACAACAGCCTGGTGACGGGCAAGCGGGCGAGGGGACTCATCGCAGTGCTGTGGCTCCTGTCCTTTGGGATTGGACTGACCCCTCTGATGGGCTGGAACAAAGCCATGAGTGGCTGTCCCAACGCCACCAACGAGACAGGGACAGAGCCCCACGGCTGCTTCATCTCGTGCCTCTTTGAGAACGTGGTGACCATGAGCTACATGGTCTACTTCAACTTCTTTGGCTGCGTGCTGCTCCCGCTCCTCATCATGCTGGGGATCTACATCAAGATATTCATGGTGGCCTGCAAGCAGCTGCACCAGATCGAGCTGATGGGCAACTCCAGGACCACCCTGCAGAAGGAGGTCCATGCAGCCAAGTCTTTGGCCATCATCGTGGGGCTTTTTGCCTTCTGCTGGCTGCCCCTGCACATCTTGAACTGCATCACGCACTTCCACGAGGACTTCTCCAGATCCAAGCCCGAGTGGGTGATGTACGTGGCCATCATCCTGTCCCACGCCAACTCCGTCATCAACCCCATCATCTACGCCTACAGGATCCGGGATTTCCGCTGCACCTTCCGCAAGATCCTCTCCAAGATCCTCTGCAAGGCCGACGAGTTCCCCAAGTGTCCCTCTGAGCACAACCAGCACCTGACTGTCATCAACATCAGCTCCCCCGCGGCCTCGGTCACCGTGTGACCCAGCCCTGCTGCCCCGCTCCAGCCCGGCCCTGGCACTGCCCCTCGGGGTGCCAGCAGTGCCAGGAGTGCTCCGACATGAGCACGATGCACTCGTGCAGCTGTGGTTTTATTTTTATTTTTGTAATGAACGTGGTGCCTGGCAGAGGAGTGACCTGAGCGGGGACACCGAGCGCCCTCCTGCAGCCCCAGGGGGTGTGAGAGCTGTGATCCTGTTGTGTTTCCTTTCCAGGTGTTTCCCTTCCAGGTTGGACACTGACTGGGGAAGACTCACCTGCTGGGGGGGTGTTTCCCCAATTGTGCTGCTCATGTCAAGTCATAGGATCACAGTAATTTTCATATTTTCATCCCTGAAAATTTGTACTTGAATCACACAGAAATCAACTTTATATTTTTTTAAATTCTGTTGCACTATAAGGGGGGTACAAGACCCCAAGAGTTTCATTTCTCTGGCATATATGACAAATGTGGTGTAAAATCCATTGATAAGCTGAAGAAATCTTGTTCCTGCAGCATCTCCCCTGCCAGCTGGCAAGGGCTGCAGGCAGCAGCTGCAGGAATGACTCTGAGCCCACCAAGCACAGGGAATGGTTCCCTGGGAGTGCTGGATTTCACTGCCATTGGAGCAGCTCAGCCCCAGACCCGGGTGAAATCACCAAAGAGCTCTGAATGGCTTTGCTTTCCCTGGGAGTGCTGGGCTGGATTTCACTGCCATTGGAGCAGCCCCAGACCCGGGTGAAATCACCAGAGAGCTCTGAATGGCTTTGCAATGTTTATGCAATGTCCAAATTTAGCTGCAGCTCAGTGTCTCACGTAGGGGCACTTCCAGCACGAGTCTGAGCAGTTCCAGTCCCTGTCCCAGGTGCCCCACTCAGCTTCCTGCATCTGCCTTGGCCAGGGGCCACCTCCTGCCACCTGGGCAGGGCCTGGCTCTCTCCTCCCTCCATCCCTTCCCTTCTGTGTTATCTTTGGCTGAGTTCCTGCTGTTAATCAGGGCTGGAAACCAGCAGGGTTTCACCTGCAGCCCTGGCAGTGTTGCCAAGTTGTTGCAAGCCACATTTATCCTCACAACGAAGGATGGAATCTCTCCCTTTGGCTGCCTGAAACCGACCCAAACTCTCACAGCAGCAACAGAGTGAAACTCTCAGTGCTGTAACACCACGAGAGAAGGTCCCAGAACACTTGTCCACATGTGAGAGCTTCCAGTGCAGCTCAGCATCCACCACTGCTCCCTTCCCATGCCTCTCATGAGCCAGAATTCCTGCAGGTGGATGTGGAGCATCCCTAGCCCAGCTGTGCCTTTGGGCTGTCAGGCATTAACTCTGCCCAGGTCAGCGGGCACAGGAAGTGCCTTTGTGGATCTGAGCCAAACAAATTTCAAGGCAAAATAAAAATAGGGCACCTCCCTTGTCCCCCTCAATGAAAAGCTCTGAAGGTTTCCATAAAAATGTGAAGCAAAAGCAGCAGAGGAACTTTCTGCAGCCAGTGCAGCTGTGGCCATTGAGCTGTCCCATGGATGGAAGTGGTCTCCTCATTTTGTATTTGCAGGAACTGTTACTTTACATCCAAAATGCTTCATTTACCACCCACACCACCTGGCTCAGCCTGTGCCCCATTATTTCTGGTGGTTGATGCAGCAGGAGAGGCCACACTGTCCTCAGGGAGCACAGAGCATGGACAGGGAATCACAGCTGGAAGGAGCTGGCTCCCAGGGAAGCAGCCTTGAGGTGCTCAGTGTGTCTGAAAATGTTTGATTTAAAGCACAGCAACCACGTTGATGCTTCCAAAGGTCCTGCTCCACTGGAGGCACAGAGCTGTCCCCAGTCTCAGGGTGCTGAGGGGTCCCAGCCCTAGTCCCTGGACCAGGTTTGCCACTGAAAAATCAGAAATTGCTTTGAGCTGCCACCTGCAAAGAGCCACAGCAGCTCTTTACTCTGGATCACTGAGACCTGCAGGACTGTTTGCATCCTCAGATCACAATCATTACAGATTAGCTCAAATATCTTCAGAAATCCCAAAACCAGCATAAATAAATACAACTGAAGTCGACACAGGCCTAATTAATTAATTTATCAGTGTCAGGCTGCTAATTAATGTCACACTTGGCTGCAGCACAGGAAGAAATCTACCAGCCTCAATGAGCATTTGACAACCTTGTAGATATTAAAGATGCCAGTTGCACAGCCAGGAGTGATCCAAATTCTTCCTCCTTCCTCCTTCATCCTTCATCCTCTTCCTCAGCCAGGAGGATGTTTGTGAGCTGCTCCTCAGACACAGCCAGCTCCTGGCAGGCTCCCATGGCCTGGCTGAGGTAGATAGCCAGGATGTGCTTGCACTGCAAAGTTAACAGCAGGAGCAAGGCTGGAATGCCAGGCTCTGTCTGGGCCAGGAATCCATCCTGGCCAAGCTGTGTTCAGAGAAGTGCTCAGCCCCCCCAGGAATGTGGTTCCCTCCTGGCACAGGTGGTGCTCAGTGTCCCCAGCTCTGCCACCAGGACAGTGCCATGCAGGGAGCTGGCACACAGGGGTGCCTGGCACCCTCCCCACCACTGCTGACCACCAAAAGCCCTCCCTGCAGCCTGCACCCAAAATCTGGGGCTCCCAGTGGCCACACAGTGGGTCAGGCTCAGCCTGCATTTCCAGCTCCACACGTGTTTGGTGGGAAATTTGGGGTTCAAGGAGCAGGGCAGAGCCTTGTCCCCTCCCCATGGAGCCCCAGCTGAGGCACAGAACTCACCAGAAGGCTCTCACTCTTCTGCAGCACAGAAAACCCAAAGGCAGGGCAGGTGCAGAAGTGGCAGGAGCTGTAGCAGGTGTAGAGTTTGCCTGAGCTCCCAAGGACCTGAAACAGAGGCAGATGAGCAGGCAGGGGCAGGATTCACTTCAATTTCTCTGACTCAGGCTGGGTCTGTGCTGCTCCAGCAGTGAGGGGGAGATGTCACAGCACAGAAGTGTCCCCAAGCACTGCAGTGACCCACCTAAGCAAGAAGCTCCTCAGGTTCCTCATGGTCTCTACAAGCTCCTCTCCCTGTACCTGTGCTGGCAAGATCCCAGCCCCAGGGACTTGGCTGCTTTAAGGGACCAGGAGAGGGGTGGTGGCACCACTCCCTGAGCTCCCATCGAGTGCCAGCCCCTGCTGGCAGGCTCAGAGGTGGAAATGACAGACTCTTGTCACACACAGCCCAGGTGTGACCCCAGAGCCACCACGGGCCTGGGGACAGGAGAGAGCAGCACTGAGCACTTGCAGGGAGGCCTCTCCTTTCCCAGCCACTGAAGGCTGTTCTGCTCTCAAAACCAGCTGCAGCTACTGGAATCCACATCTGCCTGAATAAACAAAGCTGAAGTCTCCAGAGAAGCCTCCCTGCTCCATCTCTGCTTTGGGAACAGCACTGCCTGCTTTTCCCACATGCTGTTCCCTGCAAGGCTGGTACTGAGGCACCAGGGTGAGCAAGCAGGTGAGGGAAGCATTTTTTCCAGCATGGAGCAATCTGTGAGCTGCTGGAACTGACTGCAGGATATAGGAAAGCCAGCCTATGGATTATTATTTCTCTTTTGGTCTCTTCAAGACTGGAAAATAGCTTTTAGAAAATTACTTTAAGAGCCCAACCTATGGGAAGGGAAGGATCTGCAGGAGCAGAACACACCTGCACAGGGCCCAGGGCTCCGAGGGCACATCACAGCCCTCTCCCACCCCAGCCCTCTCCATCTGGCTGGGTTTGTGGCACACACACACCCAAACCCCCCAAAACCCTAAAAGATAAACACAAAAAGTGAAAAGGCAGTGGAGCTCTGCAGAGTGCTGCTCCCCTCCAGGACATCCCTGGCATTCCAAGCCCCTCCAGAGGAACATTGTCCCTCCCTGTCCAAAGCTGCACTTCTAAGGGGAGCCTTCCCCTGTCCCCTGGAGCCCCCCTGCACCCTCTGCCCAACAGGGAACATCCAGGAATTTAGGCTCTCCCACAGAAATGCCAATGCCTCAAAGTCCCCCTCACTCCCAGCAGATCCAGGACACAAAACTCACATTCCCATTTCAGGGTAAACCATTTTTCTTTCTCACTCTGGCCTTTACCCTGAGTCCTCCTTTTACTGCAGGCTGAGTTTGTTTCACTTGTGATAAGTTTGTTTTCCTGCAGCCCCTTTGATTGCTTTTTCCAAGATGAAGGATTCTGATGGTGCCTTCCCTTCAGAAGTGTTTTCCTTTGGGGAGGGGGGGAGCCACAGACAGACACTGCCAGATTTGGGCTGAGCTCAGCATTCCCCCATCCTGACCTAGATGGCAAGAACACAGTCTCTGCCTAATAAAGCAGAATCTAAAATAAAAGACTGGGAGAAAAAGGTGCCTCAGCTCCTGGCCAGCTGCAGCCCAGCCAAGCACTGGGGTGCTTCCCTGGGCCTGAGGTGAGATTTCCTTCTGCTGTCCTCATCCCTGGGCCTCAAAGAGGAAAAATCCCCCTGGAGGTGTCTCTGCCAGCATGTGGGGGCACAGGAGGGTCAGCTGAGGCACCAGCACAGGGACAGACAGACAGCACCACAGCCTGTGTCAGGGCTGCTGCTCAAACCCTTCACTGTGGGGCATCTGCCACACAGTTCTGGGAAATGGACGAAAAAAGACAAAATAAAAAAGAAATGAAAGTGCAGGATGAGAGCAGTGCAGGTGCCAGCTGGCAGGGCTGAAGCACTGCCCTCCTTCACTGCCTCAGCTCAGCATCTCTGCCACTTGGGCAGAGCTCAAGGGTGCCCCAAATGCTGCCAGGCCAACACTGGCACATGCAGCACAGCTCCAGCAGCAGCCAGACCCACCATCCCTGCAGCAGGCAGCATCTACCCCTGAGCTCAGCAGGGCAGGTATCATCCAAACTCTCCTGGGATGATTTCAGCTCTGAGGCACCCAGCCCTGGCACACTCCATCAGTGCTACTCCTCTGTTAAACAGAAGGGCATTAAGGGACAAATCACAGCCCTCATTTGACTGGGGGCTCCTTCTTCTCCCATCTCAGCTCCTGAGGGCAAGAGCTGCCCACACTACAGGGCCTGTCTGAGCAGAGCCTTCCTGCCCTGAAGCAGGACCTGAGATGTGCTGGCTGATATGGAATTATCAGCAGCTCAGATTTGGCTATAATGACCCAAAGGAGTTTCACAACAGAACCAGCCTGGTGGCCTCAAAGAGCTCTCCAGAGCCAGCTGCAAGTGCAAGCACCACCTCACATTCCAGCTGAACCACATCTGGGTGCACATGGCAGGGCTGACTCTGTGGGGGATAATTAGCAGGGATGATTGTGCAGTGTCCAGGCAGCCATGGATGCCCCTCTCTCCAGGAGCA